CATTCTGATTATTTGCGGGTGGGTCGCGGGTGGATAAAATAAATCATTAATGATGCAAGTATTAACTACATTTTCTACATTATGAACGTGTTTTAAATAGGCTACAGAAATTGAATAAACTGTAAATTAGCATTAACATTTATTCAACAAAACATTATTTAGTCAGGAGCAGTAAGTTTTGTTGTTTGATTAACATTAATAAAAGACGGCACAGCTTTATCAGGCTGCTGTCACAAGACCTATTTCACGGATCCAATACTGATACTCGTGCGTTTTATTTCGCAACTGGTTACATTAACTTAAGACAAAACCGACAGTGCTTTCTCAATTTGGTACTTGGAAGCTGCGGATTCGGGTGACGTTTTAGCTCATCCGCACATCACTAGCGCATAGTGCAGGAACGGTATAACTGAAAATATATTCGCGTTTTGAAACCGTGACATCATGGTATACCTTGAAACCGGTAATCGGCCCATGCCTAAACTCAAGTAAAAAAAAAAAAAAAACCTACAAAAGTAACAACACATCATGTTATCCAATAGTTTTTTGTTCATGACACAAATGTCACTAAGCAACAACTAGGGTTGCACTGACAGTTTTTAAGACATTAGATTTCATTAATGGAGCTGGGAGTGGCAAATGCAAAATCCTGGAGTGGAGCTGGAGTGGAGTGATTATAGAGTATTTTTAGAGAAGACATTTCTGTCCCACCACTCACATTTAGTACTGTGCTTCAATCTATGTTTTGCTTGGTGACATGCAAAGATTGATGCTTCAGCTTCTTTTGGAACTATTTTCATTGTTAGAGGAAAATAAATATACAAAGTAACTGCACAAATTCACTCTGAAATGTATGTTACTCAGTATTTTTATAACACTCTTATGGCCTCTGTGACTTTCTACTGTATGCTAGTAAAAGCTGCATATATAATCTTGCAGATCGTGTAAATACATTTGTGGCACAAAACAGTATATATGTATATTATTATTATAGAAACAATAAAAATGCTGTGTCAGACAGAAATTTTACAGTTTTTTATTTTATTTCCAACTTCTTTGTAGAAATTCTTGTTACTCTCAGTTTCTTTGTCCGCACAGGTCCCAGCAAGAACCTCTGTCCACTGATAAAAGAAACCTTTCGTCACACCCCCTCATTTCGTCATGCTCACAACTCTGAGACCCATGCAGAGACTCGTACCTGCTGAGTATAACTATGGGATCAGAATCCCATATATAACCTCTGCCATAAACCTGCTTTGTGGTTCAGGGCCGTTGTACCTCCTACAGGAAGTAAGTGTTCGCTTGAGCCCAAAGAGCACACATCACATACAGTATGAATAAATGCCATCCATATATTACTAAACTGCAAGCCAGAAGGACCGTAATTGATTTGAGGTATAAATTAAATAAATAAGGACATGCATGCATAAACAAACAGACTCATATAGCCATATGTTCCATCTACGATGCACATAATTTTTCCTATAGCTCTGCTGTTTGATCAGCAACCCTGAATAAATATAAGAACTTGCAGAGAGAAGAAGTGCTGAGAGTTTCTCTTATCTGAGTTAAGCTACAGCTTGTTGGATTTAAATACATCAATGGTGAATGAAATTGAATGTTTCCCGATGCCTGTGCTCGGAGGAAATGGATTTCTTGCTTGCTGTCACTTTTTTCGAAAGTATTTAAAAGACAGCAGTTTTTTGCGACTGTTGTCTCCTTCCTTCCCAAAGCTTTTCATTTATATGCATGAAAAAGAAGGAAGCCCAAGAGACGGAATATCACAATGATAATCGTTTGTATTAATGTTTAATTATCAACCTAATTATTCAGATGTTTATTACCCCCTTCCCCCCCAGCAATGCTTCAGTGCAATCAAGTTGACTAGATTATATCCGTGACAATAATGTGCACATTTGGTTGAATTCACTTCTCACAGATTGCTATAATAACTTCAAATCGGCTAATTAATTACCCGAGCTGTAGTATGATTCATTTAGCTGCCATTTTTATTTGGATTGTTCTATCAGGTGTGTCGAGCTAAAATGGATGGGTACCTCGTGTGAATAAATCATGGCGTACATAATGCAGGACAAACAAACAAAAAGAGCTTGTCATCAGGAAGATGAGATGTCTTTGAGAGCTACTGATCCAGTACTTTGGCAGCCTGCGATTATTGTAAATTATACCCCTGGAATCCTTGCTGCGCAGAATTAGAATTGGTTCAGTGTCTAATTTGGACTTTGCAATCAGAATTTTGATTAAGCTTGATATTGTGTCTGCAATTAGAACTTCAATGATTCAGAATAAACAAAGGTGCAGAGAAAGTAGTGCTACTACAAAAAAACAAAACAAAGTGCTAATATTTTCAGAACTGCAATCAACAAAATTCCCTGAGTAGATCTACTCTCGGGCCAAAATAATATTTTTCTTAACCACTGTCTGCTCCCATCAAGCAGACTTAGTGAGTAGAGGGAGCACCAGGGAAATAGGGAAATTGTTTTTAGATTACATTTGGGCAGAGTTGGTTCCACTCCTGCCTTTTTCGCTCCCTTGAGGTGAGACCGTGGTCACTTTTCATTAGCTCTGAACTTCCTCACGCAGAACAAGTGTTAGTGAGGAAACGTGCCCTGACATTATGCCTGATCTGAAGTGTAAAATGTAGCTTTTCCACCCACTGAGAAGTCATTTATCAGGCTGTCTGAAGGCTTAGCGAAAGTGGAACATGAGGGTAAAGTTTGATGGACTTCATTAAAGAAAAGAAAGAAAAAAAAAATAATGAGAGCAACACGTCAAGAGTTATTAATTACTCTTAGGGTGATTTGTCTTCAGACTCCCACAATCCATCTAAATTAGACTAATTTAGGAAAAACTGTCAAGTAAACAAGTTTAATTTGTCTAAATGACCCACTGTTTGTGTATGTATATCAAGTGTTATATCACTTTATATGTCCTCTCATCAGTTGTTAATCAGTTATTTAACATGAGAGGAGGTCCTGTGGAATGATGGGAGGTTAACATTGAAGAATTTGCTTAATATGCTTATACATACTATAAATGTATAAACAGAAAAAAAAAATGAAAGAAATCATTATTGTTTTTGCAATCTGAATGACAGCCACTGGTTATATATTATTACAGTACAGCACATTTCTATGATATCTAAATTTCATTGCTTTCAGAAAATGGGTCAGGTTTGAATATTACGTTCAATTTCCAGTGTTCTAATACATTGTCCCTGGTTATGAACAGATGTAGCAATAGAGCTGCTCAATATGTGGGCAAACAATTTGGTGTCATTCACAATTCTGTCCACCCCATTGATTTGGGTCCTTCTAGGACCCCAGGAGCTGTTTGTAATGCCTGACCAAAAGTCATTATTGCTATATGTTGTTGTGATTATGTGGAGTGTAAGTGGCTGGTAAAGGGTAGCCTATAGGCTAAGCTATTCTATGTTATGTTAGTGGTATGCTAACACTAGCTAGCTGAGCAGTTACCTTGCAAAACATAAGCTAACTAAAAACACACAAAATCTATAGCTTTGGTTATATACTATTATGAGTAAAATTATAAAAACAGACCTTAATGGTCATAATAACAAAGTTCAGATGACATAGATCGTGAAGTGATATCAGTATATTTTTCCACCTGTGAAACTGTTTTTGGACTTGTTTCAAGGTGCGCAGCGAATTGTTCACTATGAGTTCTCCCTTGTTGATGGTTTTTCATAAAAGATCTATAGTTGACATTACTTGAAGAGACTTTTTTGATTTTCGATATAAATGATACAGTCTTACCTCAAAGGGGAATTCCGAAGCCACTGTTGCTAACAGATGGCTACATGAGGACTGCAAAGTGTCTGTGATTTGTCAAGCACATAACTCACATATTTGTGGTAGTTGTAGTCCTTATTTAGCCATTCTAAAACAGATATTCAGTCCCAAAAGGAACTCAAAGAACTAATGCTCTTCCAGGTTTCGGGACTACATTGTCCCAGCTCTATATCAGTATCTATATAGTAGCGATGTGTAACCAAAGGTAGTATGCTAATACCATTGTTCTCTGAAACTACTGCTTGTAATACAGTTATATTAATGCAAATAACACTTTGAAAATCAAATCAGTACTGTTTCATGGAACAAGCATGTTCACCTTTCTGACCTAAGTAAAGTCACGTCTTTGAGGTTTCATCTAAAAGCAATTTCTAGCGAGGTCTGGGAAATGCAAAGCCAGCTTTATCCAGCTTGCTCTGACGTTCTGGTTTCAGTGGAAGTCAAGGTCCTGCACTTTGTTCTCTTGGAAGACATGATATTGATCTGGTTTGGTGTCAAAGTAAACTCGACTGTAATGCTTCAAAAATGACCGTGTGGTTTACTAAGTCAACACTTTCAGCAGTTCCGTTAGAACTTTTGGATTTATTTCGGAAAGGGCCCATACATCTGTAGAGTAAATCAATTGCACCCTGGGCAGGTTATTAAACGCCGAGAAGAAACGCTTCTGTGATTCCAGACATCATCATTATTTCTGCCAAAAAGAAACAAACATTTGTTCTGGGTTTCTAGGAGAGGCCGGCTATTTCTGCTTCGCAAGTATACATTCGTTTGGAAACCCAGCACACATTTGTTTTCTTCAGGTCAGCCTCAAAATCATTTTACATCACTGTCCTCTCTAGTCCCCATGTATTGCAACATATATAGCAATAGATTTAGAGGGGGTACTGAACTGTTGTATCAGACTATATCCGTTTACAGTGCTTTAAAGAAATAGTTCAACCTAAAATACCCTCTCTGTCATAATTTACTAAACCGTATGATGTTCTAAACCTGACTTTTACAAAAGGAGATTTTTTTGTGGGATATGAATAATTCATTAGTCGATCTTTTCCATGCAAGCTTCATAAAGGATCAAAAAGCCCCATTAAAGTATCATAATAGTAGTCAATACAATGTTTATGTTATATTTTTAAGCATTCTGAAACCATTAGGATAGCTTTTTGTGAAAAACAGGCTGATATTTAAGTCATTATTTCTCTAAGCATGTCTATTATAGAGTTCATGAGAGAAATTAATTTAATTTGTGATTTATGAGTGTGTGATTTTTATTCTTTTGTGTCTATTTAAGTATTTTCATCACTTTAAGCTATCGTATAACTTCAGCCCATTTTTTAAATTCCTTTACTGTGCTTTTGTAGGACTCATTGCATGAGAAAGAATGGCCAGTACGTCAAAATTTCTTCCTTCATGTTTCATGAAAATTATGTTATACAGTTTTGTAATGACATGGGGGTGAAATATAATTTATTTCCCTTTTCTTCTGGATGAACTTCTCCTTCGAACAGTCACCAGTGTAGTTTGTAGATGAGAAAATTGTGGGAAACTTGTGATTTTCTGCCAAAATTTCATGTTTGATTGTGACATGTTTTTTTAAGATAACAAAAAAACCCAACCGCAGTAGATCGAGCAGCTTTTGCTTGTAAGTGAAAAGTAAACAACGATCATACAAAACATTACCTTTTTTTTCTTGTGGTTAATTGGAACCTTAATTTCTCATCTCTGATGTCCTCATTAAAACTCTCTGAACTGATTTCAAACATAAAATAATCAACAATTCAGATGGAATGAAACACCGCCGTGGCCTGCCACTGCTTGCCAAAGGGATTGGTTTCAAGATTGTGAAATATTAACGAGGGCTTGTGTTTGACACATTCACTCCCTGGCTGTCATGCTGCCCTGCTGCCAAATGCTTGGTGTACATGACTGTGTTCATCATGTTTGTTTGTGTGTGCGTGTCAGTGTATGTGCGTGTTATCTATAGTCTGTACAGACTCAGGGCATCGCAGCAGGTAACACTGTGTTCCTGGTAAGCAGACTTGTGAATATAACACAAAGCTTTGAATCATGGAAGATAGCAGGCCAGTTCACTAAAGCACACACACGCATGCACGGCCTTGGCTCATTTCTCAGCACAGTGCAAAAGCAGCAGGATGAGGGAATGCATCAGGACACAGCTCCACATGACACGCACGATCTACCAGCTTTCATTTACTCCCTAGGCAACAGAGCATACAGTTAGCGCAAAACTAAGCGTCTACTCCAGGGGTGTCTTTAGGCAGGGGCACCACTGAAAATTCAGTGCAAAAATAAAAAATAGTAAGAATGTGAAAGCATATAGTGTGCAAAACTTGTTTTTCTGAAGTAACATTGTGCAGCAGTGACACCATGTTTCAGAACAGTGACTCTTCTGCCGCCTTTTGAGCTCATTAGGTTCCCATTGAGCTCTAAATCATGGTGTGAATGTGAGGGGGCTCATGGTGAAATGCAGGTGACAAGCAGTGCTCCCACATCACTGTGATTGCTCCGTCAATGCGATATCAAGTTCGCAGCAGGTGCACAAATTGGCCTGAATGGGTCAATCTGGTTGTATGGAAGTGCACTGACTAATTACAAAGTAAACAACTCACCCATTTCGAACAGCATGACCTTTGGTCTCGTCCAGTTCAGAATTACCTTGAAATGACTGAAATCATGATCTGTGAATTAAATGTTTTTTTAGTGAGCACCCAAATGAGTAGATTAATGGTACTTGTGATCATCTTGAGCATCTGTTAATAGTAATAATCAATGGGAAAACTGAAAATTATTTCAAAATAATTTCCCAAACACAGTTGCAAAGACAAGCGTGTTGTCAAAAGTACCGACTGCGATATTCGGTACCGAAATTTTAAAAACGTCAATTTCCCGCAAAGATTTGAGCGCTGTTGAGCAGATTTGAGCGCTGTTGAGACTATTAATCTTCGCTGGAAATGGACGTTTTTAAAGTTTCAGTACCGAATGGTATCGCGGTCGGTACTTTTGGCAACACTACAAGCTACATAAGACATGCTTTTTAGTGTTTTATTTTTGCATTAAAAACAAACATTTTGTTGCTATTACTTGGTTTCAAATAAAAGATGCATTCATATCATGTTGGAATTACCATAATTATGAGATTCAGCAACACTCAAAATGCCAGCAGCTTCAGCAGGAAAATGTGGTAGCAGCCACTGATCAGTAATTTTTTCATTTTTCTGTTTAATAATTCATATAATAGACTAATGTAACATAATAATAATAGAATTTTAATTATAATATAATAATATTGTTAATTTCTTAATAATGCAAGAATAATCTGAAAATAAACAAAATAAATATGATACAGGAATGGAATAAAGGAATAGTTCACCCAAAATTTTAATTAATTAATTTACTCGCCCTATAGCCATCCAAGATAAGGATGAGTTTGTTTCTTCTTCAGAGGAGATTCAGAGAAATTTAGCAGTACATCACTTGCTCACCAATGGATCCTCTGCAGTGAATGGGTGCCGTCAGAATGAATATTGTTAATTTCTTAATAATGCAAGAATAATCTGAAAATAAACAAAATAAATATGATACAGGAATGGAATAAAGGAATAGTTCACCCAAAATTTTAATTAATTAATTTACTCGCCCTATAGCCATCCAAGATAAGGATGAGTTTGTTTCTTCTTCAGAAGAGATTCAGAGAAATTTAGCAGTACATCACTTGCTCACCAATGGATCATCTGCAGTGAATGGGTGCCGTCAGAATGAGAGCACAAACAGCTGATAAAAACATCATAATAATTCACAACACGAGTCTAGTCCATCAATTAATGTCTTGTGAAGTAAAATGTTGTGTGTTTATATCAAACAAATCCATCATTGGAATGTTTTTAGCCTCAAACCTTTGTTTCCAATAGTATAAGTATAAGTCCTCTATATTGCTTTCTACAGTGCAAGTCATCTCATCTGAATCAGGAGAGAAATGTGCACAGATCAAGCACCGTTTACAAGCGAAAACAGTCCAAACAAATACATTGGTGGATTTTTATGTGAGAGGAATACAGGGAATGGTCTGGAGTCAGGTTGTGTGTTAATGTGATGTTTTTATCAGCAATTTCAGGATCCACATGTGAGCAAGAGATTTAAAGCTAAATTTATCCAAATCTGCTACAATGAAGAAACAAACTACAATCTACATCTTTACATTTTTTTTCAATATTTTTCTACAATTTTTGGGTGAATAATTCCTTTATTGTAGCTAGCACAGAGTTGAATTATTATTTTACTATTTTCATATTAATAAGGTATTGCATTACTTCTATCTATCTATCTATCTATCTATCTCTCTCTCTCTCTCTCTCTCTCTCTCTCTCTCTCTCTCTCTCTCTCTCTCTCTCTCTCTCTCTCTCTCTATATATATATATATATATATACACACACAAACAGTGCCTTGCGAAAGTATTCGCATTTTTTTCACGTTTTGTTATGTTGCAGCCTTATGTTAAACTGCATTAAATTACTTTTTTTTCCCACATCAATCTACACTCCATACACCATAATGGCAAAGCAAAAACAGAACTGTCACAACTTTGTAAATTTATAAAAAAAATAAAAAAACTGAGATAAGTACATTGCATAAGTATTCAACCCCTTAACTCAGTACTTAGCTGTAGCACCTTTACAGCCTCAAGTATTTTTGGGTATGATGCGACAAGTTTGCACATCAGCATTTGGCAATTATCTACCCTTCTTCTCCTCACCTTTTCACCTCTCAAGCTCTGTCAGGTTGGATGGGGGCAGACACACATTTTCAGGTACATATGATCATGGAGCTCAACTAGAGTGACCATCAGCTTCTTGGTCACCAATCTAACCAAATCCCTTCTCCATCAATTGCTCAGTTTGGCCAGGAAGCCAGCTCTAGGAAGAGTCCTGGTTGTTCCCCATGTCTTCCATTTTGGATAATGGAGGCTACATGCTTCTGTGAACCTTCAATGCAGTAGAATTTTTTTTCTGAACCCTTCCTCAGATGTGTGGTTTGATGCGATCCTGTTTCTGAGCTCTACAGGCAGGTTTTTTCTTTTCTTTTCTTTTTTTTTTTTTGGACCTCAGGGCTTGATCTTTGCTCTAATATGCATTTTCAGCTGTTAGACCTTTATTAAGACATGTGTGCCTTTCCAAATCATACCCATTCAATTGAATTTGCCACAGGTTAGCTTCACTCAAAGTGTGGTAACATTTACAAGCATAATGAATGCTCCTGAGCTAAATGTCAACTGTCCCAGATAAGGGTATGAATACTTATGCAATGGAATCATTTAAGTTTTTATCTTTAATAAATTTGCAAAGATGTTAAAAACCTGTTATTTGCTTTATTATTATGGTGTATGGAGTGTAGATTGATGTGGAAAAAGTAATGTAAAGCAGTTTAACATAAGGCTGCAACATAACAAAACATGTATACTTTTTATGTTTGAATACTTTCGCAAGGCACTGTATATATATATATATATATATATATATATATATGACAACAATGGAACCACAAGAGTACAATGATACAAATAATTGTTTTAAGTGTGAAAATACAGCAAAAGTAACAGAAATTCAAAATCAATGGACTTGTGACAAGGCCACTGAAATAATCAGGCATTCACTTTAACCTTTCATTTAGTGAATAGTGTTTTTTTTTTCTTAGAGAAATAACAAGCAAGTGTCTCAGAGCTGGCAAAAGCTTTGAAAAGAGTGACTGTTTATCTCACATAGTAAGATGCAGCCTGTAGAAGTGGCATGAATGGTTGTTGTCCACACTGACACTACTGTAGCTAAAATAAACACATGTAACATTTTCCAAGGCCCATATTTACAAAATATAGACCTCTGGGAATTCATACTCTGGTCTCATGAGACCAAGTCAATCATTTACTGATGGATCTAACAGCATTCCAAATCTAATGGTGTTGCTAGAGGAAGGAGTACAGTGAGAAGTGCCTGGCTCCCACAGTGAAGTTCAATGGTAGTAAAACTTTTCTATTGGGATGTATGAGTGGTAAAGATGTGAGGGAGTTGTGCTTTATCAATGCTGTTATGAATTCACACACCACTGTGTGATGTAATCCAAAAAGTTGAAACAGAAGATGCTACCCTCTCCTCTTTCCCTGCTTTGTTGGGTGTTTTTTCAACATGACAATGACGATATGAATTCCTTCAGTGGACAAGTATTTCACCCAGTCTTAACACTCTTGAGAACCTGTGGGGAATTCTGTAGAGTTGAGTTAAGCAACACTCCCCATTAAAGACCAGGGCATTTAAGGAGGTCATCCTCCAGGAGTGACAGATGTGTGACAGATGTGACAAGTTGTCATGAACTTGTACACTCAGTGCCAAGATGGGTCAGAGCTATACTTAAAAATCATGGAGGACTAAGTACTAGAATATATACACATATAGAATAGTATATATACGTATATATATACATAAGTGCTAAGTTATCTAAACTAGCTTCACCTGTGCTGAATTGGTTGATTATCTGAATTTTTAATTTTGACATTAAAAACATTAATTTTGCTGTTAATAGTATTTCCATAAAAACATAATTTCGAGTCTGAGGACATGAACAGCATTCCAAACAGAATGTCAGCATGGCTTGAACGCAACAGAACATAAATATAATTTTTTTTTTCAAATAAATATAGTAGTCTACAGCTTTCCCATTGCTATTGTAAGGTGAATGCATGTGAAAATCAAGTAGCACTTGTCAATTAATTTACATTTCAGAAGTTCACCACATGCCCACTGATCTACTCCTATCAGTTATGGTAAAGGGCACGATCCTCAGTTGTTTGCTAAACAGGACCAGATCTGAGACACCTCATTGCATAGCAAGTCCCTTTGAGTGACAGAAAGCATGTCACACTGTTGAACACACACGTGCACGGTGAGACAGGTGATGTTGAGCGTTCAAGGAATCAGCAGTAAATGCCAACATTAACCCAAAGCCCCGATATTAATTTGCCTGCTAAAAGAAAAGTACAATTATTTGCGAAGGCACTTTCCTCTCAAGCAGTGCGGCCCAGTTCAACCTTTCAACATCAACAAATCAACTGCATGCAATTCATTATGCTTATAAAAGGTTATGGCAGCCTGATAAATGAGAGCCTCCGACTCATGTATCAAGTCCCTGAGATAAAGCAAAATTATGTCATGAATTATTAACTGCAATTCAATAGGTTGAGCTTCTAATCTCACAGTCCGTCAGGGCGGCTTAAGGGAGAATTCTCAACAAGATGAGGGCGGCACAGGCAGAAAAGCACTGAGAAGCAAATTCATCGCCGTGTTTTAGTGTAAGCATCTGACAACCCCAATAGCAGGAACCCTCAAACAGGACATGCATGAAGCGAATGACTGCATTTGGGTATTTTTGGGTGAGGAAAAACAGATGTATTACCGAAGGCTCTAGAGAAATGGATTTCATATCAGTGTGACAAGAAAATCTGACACAGCTAGCAGAAATGCTTTGCTGCCACTGCAAACCTGTTCAAGGAAATTTGTGTATTTATTCTTCCGGTGGCACAGGCTCACACTTGAGTCTGGTGATCGGTCAGATGTGTAAAGAATATGTGAAGTCTCTTGTTCCTGAAAAACTGGTCACGCTGTTCACTGGCAAGTGCTCATATCCCCTGTCAGATCCAGAAAACACAGAGAGAGAGAGAGAGACAAACTCTCGGCACTCTGCACTCTCTTTTGTCCCCTGCAGAGCTATTGCCATGTGATTGAGGTTGAACTGGAAAAAAAGAGAAATGTCATAGCTTCTAAAAATACAAAGTCCAAAAGCAGAGCTATAGGCGTATTTTGTTCTCCTTCAAATATTAGAAGTGCATTACAGATTCATTATTCATGAGGGTTGAGATGGATGGGGGGGCAGGGACATATGGTGCACGCTGTGTGTGGTGAAATATTAAAAAGCCGTGTCAGCGCTGAAGCCACAGTCCCACCAGGTGGGCAGATCTGCCGGACGAAGACAGCTCTCTCCTGACAACGGGCCCCGGCGGACGCACGTCCCGCGGTTTTGCACCCAGAGACAAAGGCAGAAGGGACAGGCAGGTAGAGAGACGCTGCCGAAACATCCCGTAGAGGTCAGACGCGGCGGTCAGCGGTGCGACATCTGTGGTCTTGGTAGAGATTGGAGGGGACGGAGGGAGAGAGAGTTAGGGGCCAAACAAATTAGAATAAAATGAACAGGTCAGAGGCTTGATTATTTGTGCGACTGGAGGTGCATCGTAATCATCCTGCTGTGTTACTTCAGAGTTTGTGCATCCTAATACAACTGACTGGAAGGCAAAATGTGCCCGGTTGGGAGATGACAGAATGATAGGAGAGAGATAATCGTGAGATGTGCTCTACAGTGTAAAGAAAAGTTGGAAATGAACATTATTGGAGTATGTTTTACAAGAAAATATTATTTGAGTCTTTCTATTTCCAAATGTTGCACTTAATTCAATGTGTTATTTGCCATTTCTTTGTAATTATGCGTAAAATTCACTAGCAATTCCTGAGTAAACATTGTTTCAAAGTAAATCCTTCATCATTTTCAGTATATGGACATTATCCTAAAAATAACACTTTTCTGGCAAGTAGATTATGGGAGAGACATTATATATTAGAAATAAGGGGTGTGTTTGTAAGCCGTTGTTTATTAGGAATGAAAATGAGCAGGTTGGTAAATTATCATAATGAGTCAATAAAACCTAGCTCATTTATTGCTAATGGGAAATTTCATGATGATGGATGCCTGTCCATCATATGCTCATTTGGACCGTGCCCTAACCTGAACGGAGCACAGTGGGCTACATTGAGAGACGAAGCATACTGGGTAATTAAATGAAAGCAATCATAATGTCCAAGACACAAAGGTTTTGTTAAGCAGTGATGAGGACAGAAAATGGGTCTGCTCTAATTTAGGTACTTTTTTCTGTGCATGTTGTTCATGCTTATTCTACTTTACAGTTTTGTAAAGCTGAACAATTCAATTATAGGCCTATTGTAGGGACACATCAATATTAAAATGATAGCAGATATGATACACTGATAATTATTTTCATAATTATTTGTGTAACCATAACTGACAAACCAATAAATGTACTTTTTTTATTCTGCAGAAAAATAGGATTTTGCCACCAAGCATGTGTTATATGAATAAAATAGACCTTTGACAAACCAAGTACTGTTCAAAAGTTTGGGAGTCAGTAAGTTCTGAAAGAAATTAATACTTTTATTCAGCAAGGACACACTGAACTGATCCAAAGTCACAGTAAAGACTTTTTTATAATGTTAGAGCAGATTTCCATTTCAAATAAATGGTGTTCTTTTGATCTTTCTGTTCATTAAATAATCTTGAAAAAAAATGATCACTGTTTCCATAAAAAGATATTAAACAGATGAGAAAAAGAAATGTTACTTGAGCACCATATATATAAAAAAAACTAAATTAAAATTAAATTAAAAAACATATTTTTTTAAATTGTAGTAAAATTACAAAAATATTTAAAAAATCTTACAGACCCCCACCATTTGTCAGCTCAACAGATTTGCATATATGCACTTGAGCAATGTGAGCTATTTCTTTGTGTAATTATTAGTATATTCCAACAGCTTTGACTAGGTGGAGCGGTCATCAGTCTGGGTAGACCAGAGCCGAACTGACCCTTATGTGGCCTCACCACTGCGTTAGAGCTTCGAATGTTCCTCAGAGAACTCGAGAGAAAAAGAGAGAGACACAGACAGACAGACAGAGATGCAGAAGGGGGCAAAGTATGTACCCACTCCCTCTGCCAAGCCTTGATCAGACCCTCATAAAAGGCTCTTTCCGTGGCAAGCCAGCTTTCATGAATAGCGCTGATGACAGCCCCCAAATTTCCAGGCACAGCGAAATACTGCATGGGAATCACAGGTGGTGCCTGGCTTCACTGCTCTGATTAACCTCTTCCATACTGCTCGTCTGCTGTCGGAAACTGTGTTTCAGGAGGGAAAGCCAGAGCCTGGCAAGATGATAGATGAACCCATCTGAAGTGCAGGATCTAAAGAGACTGAGAATGACGAGGTTTAGAGCTCCATCATCACTAGCTGTGTCTTTTATGTTGTAAATGGTTAAAGCCTCAGCAAGTCCATAAGGTGCCCGCAAGGGAGCAGTAAACAGGAAGAGACTGTAACTCAGAGGTCTGGGGACAGATAGAGAGGAATGTTCTCAACAGAGAGTGCAAATGTGAAATACCCATGATGCAACAAGATAAAGACACCTGAGACCCTGAAAATCTCTGAGTGAAATATAAATCTCTCTATTCAGTTTGAGTTTCTGTCTGGCCCTCCAGACAGATTCTCAAATATGTCCATTTCAAATGGCTCACATAATGGCCCTGATTCACAAAAGGTTTGCATATATAAAAACTACGGCAAGCTGTTGATAAAATGTTTAAGTGCACTCTTAAAAATGCGTATGCGATACATTTTGGGCTCCCCAAAGAAGCTCTCAGTGAAGAGTTCATAAAAGAATCATTTTTGTTAGTGTGAAGAATATTTAAATGTTATAAAGAATTTTTTTATCTATTATAAAGAACCTTTTGTGCAGTGGAAAGGTTCCATGGATGTTAAAGTTTCTTCATGAAACCATAGACGCCAATAAAGGACCTTTATTTTTAAGAGTGTGTGAATACTCTCATAATTTTTTTTAATTTTAGTTTTGATAGCCCTAATAAAAGTATGTGCAAATTTAGGAACCTGCACTAA